AGTATGTCTATGAGTTTAAGGCGCTTAAGCTGCCTGCTGTTTGCAGTTTCAACCGTCTATGCAAGTTCAAGCACATTTTTGTAATTCTTTTAACAATCAAAATTCCAGCTTTATATCTAGATTTGTTAACAAAACAAATAGCCTTAGTAAACTGTTCTGTACTTTATTGTTTATCTTAGAGATGGACTTTGAACTTAGATATTTTACACAAGTACATCGATTTGAATGCCAGCAATTGACAAAGCAATAAAACATTTCTGATTTAAAAATTAATTAATACTCTGAATAGTTTTTGAGAAAAGTTCTTTGTACTTTTACTCAAGTATTTTTTAACACCCGTATTTGTACTTCAGTACAATTTTTTGTACTGTTTCCAACTTTGGTATTACTGCACATTTCTCCTCCTCATTGACTTGCTCTTCTATCAAATCCTCTCTGCACAATTATCGGGGACAGCCTCAATCATTTCCTCCGTCGATGAAAGAGAAAGATAAAGTGAGAGTGGACCCCAGGGGTAGACTTGGCTCTGCTGAAAAGAAATCCAGCTCCAGCTCCAGATGCTCCTGACATCCTCTCATCTGAGGAAGCCCCTGGGCTCAGTTTGACACACACAACACCCCAGCGCCACTCCCTTTGGTGCATAACAAAAGTAATAAATAAGTACGAAAATGAAAGCCATTTCAAAACACAAGATAAGGTAAGAATAAGAAGAAAGAAAAGTAAAAAGGCAGTAATGTATATATATGTACATTTTAAAATATAAACAAACAGGAATGAATGATATAAAACCTGACAATTGCACAAGTGAAGCCCAGTGTTGTTGCACGGATAAAGATACATTTATTGCACTAAGATCAATGTGATCAGTAATATATGTTGGTTGAGGGGGACAGGTTCAACTGGACTTGTTGTTGTTGACTGCAGTAATAGCTCTCGGGAAGAAGCTATCCCTGAGTCTGTTGGTCTTTGTTTTGTGTGACCTTTACCTTCGGCCCGATGGTAACAGGTCAAACAGGTGGTTTACGGGGTGGTATGAGTCCTTGATGATGTTGCCAGCTCTGCTCAGGTAGCGAGAGTTGGCAATGTCCTCCAGGCTGGGCAGAGGGCAGCCTGTGATCTTATGGGCTGTGCAGATGACCCTCTGTAGTGCACTCCTGTCGGCTGCAGAGCACCCTGCATACCAAGCTGTGATGCAGTATGCCAGGATGCGCTCTATGGTGCCTCTGTAGAAGGTCACCAGCAACTTCTTCTCCAGGTTATTTCTCCTGAGCACTCTCAGGAAGTGGAGACGCTGCTGGGCCTTCCTCACCACTGCAGCAGTATTTGCGGTCCAGGAGAGGTCCTCTGATATCTGCACATCCAGGGATCTCATGGTGTTGACCCTTTCCACACAGGCCCCGTGGATGAAAAGTGGGGCCGGGTCTGCTCTGCCCTTCCTGAAGTCTATTGTGATTTCTTACGTTTTTGTGGTGTTCAGTTGGAGGTTGTTTACTGAACACCACGCAGACAGTCTGTTGACCTCATCTCTCTAGTTGGATTCATCTCCCCCTGAGATGAGTCCGACCACGGTGGTGTCGTCCGCAAACTTTATGAAAGTGTTTGAGAGATGGGTCGGGGAGCAGTCGGATGTGTAGAGTGTGAACAGGAGGTAACTCAAAACACATCCTTGTGGAGATCCGGTGTTGAGTGTGATGGTGCTGGAGAGGTGGGGGCTGAGTCTGACAGCTTGTGGGCAGTTTGTCAGGAAGTCCTTGATCCAGAGACAGATGGTGGTGGATAGAACCAGGTGGGACAGTTTCTGGATCAGGATCTCCGGGATGATGTGGTTAAAAGCTGAGCCGAAGTCCAGGAAGAGAATCCTCACATAGTTCCCCAGGTGTTCCAGATGGCTCAACGTGGTGTGGAGTGCTATGGTGATAGCGTCCTCGGTGGATCTATTTGCCCTGTAGGCAAACTGGTAGGGGTCCAGAGTGGGAGGAAGATGGGTCCTGATGTGCTGAGAGACCAGTCTCTCAAAGCACTTCATAATTACAGGTGTAAGTGCAACAGGCCTATAGTCATTGGGGCTGTCCACAGCTGTCTTCTTGGGGATGGGGATGATGGTGGAGGTCCTGAGGCAGGGAAGGACGGTGGCCAAAGACAGGGACAGGTTGAAGATACTCGTGAACACTCCAGCCAGTTGGTCAGCACACGCCCTGAGTACCTTGCTGGGCACTCTGTCGGGGCCGGCTGCCTTCCTGGGGTTCACTGTCCTCAGCACAAGTCTTATATCCTGCTCCTGAAGTGTCATTGTGCTGGGGCTGGGGGATGTGGGTGGTGTGACTGTGACAGCTGTGGGCCTGATAGTCTCAAAGCAGGTGAAGAAGCTGTTTAAATCCTCTGCCAGAGGCATCAGTCCTAGCTGTCACCTGATGGGTGCCTCTGAAGTTTGTGATGTGATTTATCCCTGCCACATCCTTCTAGGGTTGTAGCAGGGGATGAGCGCATTTGGCACGCGTTTGGACACTCAACCTGACTGAATCAACACAGCTGAAACCGCATTAAATTAAATATCTAGTAAACAGACACACATGATGAAGTTAACAAGATATGTAATTCGTCTCCCTACTTTTCTTTCCTCCTCTTCCTCTTTTTTCTCACGCAGCTCGACCTGGACATGTCTCTGTGTCTTCTCCCTGTCCTGCTGCTGCAGCGGCTGAACAGATGATTTGTTTCAGTGATCAGATGAGTTATTTACTTTAAGCCTACATACGGATATTATAATATTCAGTTGCATAATTCAAATTTAATTCATATGCCAACATCAATGAAAGAAAGAGCCAGGCCACGCAGCATGATGTGTCCTGTATGCACAGATGGTTCCGATTTTAATGCCATTATTGGAATTTATGTTGTGATCTGTGCGCACAGCCCACCTTTGTCACGTGAGGTTTAAATATATGCAACTTTATGTGATTGTCTTTATTTGTGGAAAAGGATGTTTGTCTTACCAGTAAGTCCAACCATACACACACCAAATCCATCTGTGCTTATATGAGACAGTGTGCAGGATGTCCTCTGCAGCGCTTACAGCGACACTTGTTGAGGAGCTGCCTTCTGTCGCCATCGCGTCGCATTGCTGTCTTCAGACATCTCTTGATCTCTTTGACTACTTCATGAAAATTGTAATTCGCCTCGCCGGTGGCGGATTTAAAGGTGAGGAGATGCGCTAATCTGGTTGGCAAAAACAGGTCTCGGCTGTATTAAACCTACTCCACGCCCTCTCTCCTCACTCCCTACCACTTACGCCGCTGGAGGAGCTGAGTTAGGGAGGGGGGATGCTTACATTGGGCTGCTTGCTCACCAAAATACCGGAATGTGCTTGGGCACGCCTTGTTGGCGCGGCGGACCTGACTAACATCGTGCCTACGTCACGTTCCTGGCAAGGAATGAAAATAGAGCCCTAGATCTGCAAAAAGGATGAGTGTTGCACCATGACACCAAAGTGTGTATTGATTTGTCAATCACTTGTTGTCAATGTTGATGCCAAAATACTTCAAAACTTTCATAAGAGTCAAAGACTAAAAACAAACACAAAGACAACTCTGAAATGATTTCAGCCAACAGGAAAAGTTTAAACAGACTGTGTGCTCAGACTGCTGCTTTAGCAGATCAGGAGAGTCTCATGAAGGATAATCTAACTCTATAGGAACACATATGTATTTTCATCTCCAGTGTATGGACTCTGTAATCCTGCAGGTCTTGTTGTGGGAACAGCTGTAATCTCTGATGGCGTGACCAAACTTGTGTGACCTCCAAACTTAAACAGTAAGATCACTGACTGTGGGGTCAATCATGTCGTAATGTTTCTAAATGAAAATCTGCTGCCATATTACACAGCTTAACACTGGAAGAAAGTCACAACAGGCAGATTATCCTCCTTTTGATTCGTTATACGCTACAGCCTGAAAAACAGACTTCCCTCAGTGCCAGGAAATAAATGAGGTCATATGTGGAAAAAAATGAGTGTGCTGCTTTGCAGCAGTACTTTGGCCTCACTCTGCTGTGGCAGCGTGAGATAGAGGTCCACCATCCATATAATTAGGTGTATGAAAAAATGCCTACTCTGAAGTCTGCAGTCACACACTAAAGGACATATTACGCTTTAGTGAAACTGAGTTTTTTGAACAGGAAGTTTTAGGTGCAGATATACGGCAGCGTAGAGCTGCCAGACCAAGAAAATAAAAACCGGGAGGCTCAGTATCACGTAATTACGTGAAAGTTTATTGTTATAACAATATATTTTCACGTTATAACGTGAAAATGTATACTTGTTATGGAATATTGTTGGTTTATTTATTTTCTAACATGTTTTTGAGAATTTATCTTTTCTTTCTCTCTTTTTCCCTTTTCTTTAGAAGACTTGTGGTGTAACTCAGACCATGTTGTTAAAGAGTCGCCTTGCTAAAGTTTTTGTTTTTTTGTAAAAAGGGTAGGCAAAATAAGCATGAGCTTCAGCCTACACCTTTTCGATTAGCTTTATGATGCTTTTGAAATTTACTATGTATCTGTTGTGGGTGGATTTTAAATGCTAATCGAATAAAATAATTGAATTGAAAAAAAAAAAAAAATTGAAATTGAAATTATCACGTTATTTCATTATATGATTTTTTTCACGTTATAACGTGAAAGTATCACGTTATTTCAAGATATACTTTCACGTTATAACATGAAAGTATCACGTTATTTCGTGATATGACTTTTTCACGTTATAACGTGATAGGTATCACGTTATTTCAAGATAGGAAATTTTCACGTTATAACGTGAAAGTATCACATTATTTCGTGAAACGTGGTTTTGTTTACAGTCTGCTGGCCATCTGTAAATCATGGCTCCTTTACATGATGCCATTAGATCGTATTTCATGCTTGGCTTGAGACATGGTGAGATTTTAGAGTTATTGGGCTCCGTGGATGAGATTTATATAAGCATGCGTACCCTGAGAAGAATTTTGAAAACAATGGGGTTATACCGGAGGAAAAACGAGTCGGACCCTCTTGAGGTAGCGTCATTCCTCATTGATCAGCTGGAGGGACACGGCCGGCTGCATGGATACAAGCTCCATCACCTCAACTGCATCCAAGCTGGATATGTTGTCACCCAAAGTACAGTGAGGCATTTGTTAAAGTTTCTCGACCCCCGCGGTGTTGAACAGAGACGGAGAAATCGCCTTACACAGCGCATGTACTTTAACCCAGGACCTAATTTCATGTGGCATGTTGACTCGTACGACAAATTAAAACCATTTGGTGTCTGTATAAATGGAGCAATGGATGGCTTTTCAAGACTTGTGATATGGCTACATGCCTATTCAACAAACAGCGATCCCAAAGTAATCGCTGGGTATTTCATAAAGGAAGTTGAGAGGAGGATGGGGACAGCATCCAGACTTCGGGACAGAAAATGTAACCATGGCAGAAATGCAGAGGTTCTTGCGATGGAGTACGGATCATCCTTGTCGCCGCCTTGTCACCAACTGTTACATCGCTGGGTCCAGTAATCACAATCAGCGGATCAAAAGCTGGTGGGCCTTTTTGAGAAGACATCATGCCCAGTACTGGATGAATCGTTTCCAGCAACTGAAAGACAAAGACTGCCTCTCTGGAGACTTCTTGGACAAGCAACTTATATTGTTTAGTTGCCTGGCCATCATCCAGGTATGTCAGATGCATGTGCCATCATCTTGTGTGTGTGTGTGTGTGTGTGTGTGTGTGATATCTTGAGCACGAGAGAGAGAGAGTGAGCGCCCGTTAGCTAATCAGAGGTGCACAGAGAAGAATCTTTTTTTTTTTTTGAATTAACAAAGTATTTTCCATATTCCAATAATGGATCCCATTGATGTATTTTGTGATTGATCTATAATCTAACTAAGATCTAATCCGTGGTTCAAAACGTTACCAAACTTTGCCCTCTCGCGAGATCTGTCCGAAAATCTCACACGCACACTCTAGTGGTATGAGTACACCGCCATCTACTGGTCAAAAGCCAGTGGGCTTTCTATTGCAGCTGTCAAAATCCTATGCCTATATATTAATATATTTTTTATATCTATTTTTTTTTTTTACTACATAGGAAGAACTGCAGCAAGTTGTACATTTGTGGAACACCCATGTTATCCGGAGGAGCAGAAATGCAGTGGCTCCAAGTGGACGTTCCATTCTCAAGTACACCATCCCTCACCTATTTGGAGGACAAGATCATCTGAAAGAAGTCTCTCTGGCAGCAGTGGAGGCTTGTAAAGAGGAGTGCCATCAGAGAGGACCTCATCCTTGTGATGAAACTGTATTCAATATGTGTTGCCTTATAATGACAGAGAACTTCTTACACTCTCCCACCACACCAGATGAAGCTATAGAGCTGTATCTTTTCCTGTGAGCATGCATTCTAAGAGACTTAGAAATTACTTTGTGATTTCTATTGTTGATGTGATCCGTTTTGAACATTTAATGCATGGGGAAAAGAAACATCCCGACTATGATGTTTCTCATTACCATGTGATTTGTACTTCAGGGGAAGGGTCACACAACAACACAACTCCAGGGCTCTTTCTTGTGCTTTCTTCCTCGGGGCTGCATTTTTCTTTTTTACACGACACATGCAGACCTAAGCATGAAACAAAATATACTGTTTTATTTTGTAGTAACAGCATTCAGATTTTCTTTCAAATTGCTCTTTTACGTAACAGTACATTAACATGTAGAGCATGTATTGGGGAACTCATTAGACAACTCATAATCGGGTAACAAGAGTATAGAAAAGTAGTCAGATCTTGAGCTGCATTATAGAAGAAATAACATCACGGATGTGTTTTTTTCATCAACTTGACAGGTAAAAAAAATCCCTGTGCTTATGTATTATTACACTGTGTATCACAAATGTAAACATTAACAAAATAAACAGTTTCCCAACATTAAGGTGTAAGTCTACATTCCTTTTGTAGCAACATTTACAACCACTGTAGAATCAAATTGCTCTTTTACATAACAGAGTAGAACATTTAATGGGAAACTCATTAGAGAAGTCATAATCATACAAGAGTATAGAAAAGTGGTCAGGTCTTCTCAATAACAATTATTATTTTTCCATCAACTTGACAAGTCATAAAATGCTCTGCTCTGAATATCTGTAGACATTCATTAGACATACACATTAGACATGTGCACCATTATCTTAGATGAGATAAGCATATCATTACAAAGCTAAACTAGGCTGAATTTGTATGATGTTTTGTCAATCAGTACACTGTCAAACTCAGTGCGTAGCTCTGGATAGGAAGCGTATGTCCATGGTAGTTCCAGAACTGGACCACATGTGTGTGCAACAGGTCTTCGTGCAAGTCCTTCAACTGCCGTGAACATGATGGTAATTTTGCTTGCACATATGACATCTGACCCTGTCACAAACCTTAATACTCTTCGGAGACCTGCCTCATCTAAGCCTCTGATGTATTGTTGCAAGAAACGAAAGCTTTGGGTCTCGGCTTGACTTGAGGGAGAGGCATGTAGCATTTTCAGAAGCCTTTTGGTTGTTGGCTTTTTGGCTTCATACATGTGCAGGACATCTTGTGGGCTGGCGAGAGCTTCTCTTAGGGAGGAACCAGCAACGAAAGACATCTTTTCTGATGCATATCTTGGCTTTTGGATCAACTGCTTGTGTGCCACTTTCAGAAGGATGCCTTTTAAATTCTTTTGTGTTGGAACTGCTGTTACGTCCAAACGGTCTAAAAGATCTATCAGCTCATCCTTCTCCTCTTCTGAAAGTTCTCCGTTTAAGGCAGTGGTGATCAGACTCCTGTCTGAATGACTGACATATAGAAGAAGTCTATCAAAAAGCACACCATCGGAGACTTCCTGCTCACCAAAAATAAGTGCCACTGTAAAAGCAGGGGAAAGGCAACAGGGAAAATAGCCATGGTCTTGAAATCCCTTCAGTAGAATTCGCTCAATGGATTTCCATTCTTCTTCTTGCCACTTAGGACACAGAGATTGAATTCTCTGGTCCTCCCCTTCAGCTGTGTGGTCCAGTAGCTCGGTCCAAAATGCAGCATACACATCCCTTGAGATACCATCTGCGTCAGCACCACTTTCATCTATGTAAGTGTATCTAAGTTTATGTTTGAGAAGTGCTGCATCCTTGAATTGGCCTATCATCTCCTCTAGAAGATTGACCCTATGAAGTCTTATAGTGATAAGCACAACATCCAATGAAGGAGTTGAACTTCTTGCTACCTCATCTACAGATTCAGATTCTGCAGTATCGTTGGCTGTTGGTGGAGGTGTGATGGAAGCTTCATCTTCTCTCAGTGCTGTGTCTGAAGTAGAGGATGCTGCACTTACTGGGAGAGGCATGCTGATCAATGTGTCGTTTCAGCTTGTTATGGGAATGAGGACTGATGTGATGATAAGGTCCTCATTGTTCTCCAAGTGAGGTAGAAAGATCAAAGTATCATTCATTTGGCCAGCCACAGGTTCTCCAAGATATGGGTCAAACATAACCTCAGATGTGTCTAGGTTTGCCTCAATGTCAGAAGTTTGAATAGGCTGGTCATCTTCTTCCAACATGTCATTCAGTTGCTCATCCTTGTTGTTTGATGTTCCCATAACACATTCTTCATCATCCTTATCTTCTGGGGTCTTAGTGCACAGGTAAATTCTCAACACTCCCATTCTAAGTATGCTGTACAGTTCTCCAACTATAATAACATCATCAAAAATAGCTTCCTCCTGATAGTCTAATATGTCATGACTAAATGCTTCAATTTTGCCTACTTTATTTTCTCCCTTTGGGAAGAAAATGTCTTTGGCATACTGCAAGATGTTCTCTTTTTTTTTGAGTCTTTCGGGACATCAAGGGTCCTTGTTAACCCCCCCACCCCCCACCCCCCTCTACGTTTCCGGACTTGTTTACTCTCATGGATCCATCCCAACTCAATTTTTCTTGTTGGTTTCTCAGCCCATTTGTTGTGTTTTGCATACGTTCTTCTCCTTTTCTCCTGGTTAGTGTTATCATCAGTGTCACCAATCCCCATTCTTTGTTTGAGTTTGTCAAGCAATGATGTTTTTGTTGCTTGTTTTGTGCCATGATGTTGCCCATGATCCAAACAGAAGCGTCTTGCTGCAATCCTGTCCCCGCATGTAGGGATGTAGCCAGCCAGGTTGTCATCATCCATACAATCAATGACTCCAGCATCAATCTGTAAAGACAGACATAATAATTACAATTCACAAGACTACATAAACACAGAGACAGGAAAGACAGGGTGGTAATAGATGGCATTCGCTATAACAAACTCGAGACTGGATTTTAACTCCACAGTTGTAACTTCGTTTTTATCCCTTAATATCCCTTTTATCTCTTGTATTCATTAAATTGAATATTATTTCTGTGTAATGAAGGTCATCAAGTGTAACTTTGCTAAGGACGCCAGTCTGATCAGCGCAGCACGGAGAATAAAAACGATGCAGGATCTTTATCTTATGTTTCATTTTTGCCTATCCTGGACTATCCTGGCTAAAAATGAAACCTGCTGATGAGAGCCTCTGACCCGCTGGCAACTGTGTTTTTCTCCCTCAGAAGCTGCGTTCCGATCACCCTGCAGTTCCCTGCGAAGTGGACTGCGCACGATAGACATCTTAACTGAGGTTTCAAACCGCAGTGAACAGTTCAAAGGGAGCTGAGCCCTGCACAGGGAACAACTGAACAACAATCGTACACTTCGCAGGGTATTCCCTAAGCAGGGAGCATGGTGCAGATCGGAAAGCAGCATGTAGTTGGTTAACAGGCTAGTTAGCTAACTAGCCTGGTAGCTAATTAGCCTGTTACACAATGCTTTAATTAGATGGTGAGTGGTCAAAATTAGCTTACATGATCTTGTTCCATCCATTGGAGACAGTCCTCTGACACCCCACGACCTCGGAGAAATCTGGACAGTGGAGAGTCCATGGCGATGTTCAAGCTCACTGAAGAGAGGCGTGTATGATTAGATGGGTATCACGTTATTTCAAGATTTGAAATTTTCATGTTATAACCTGATAACATCTTATCACGAAATAACGTGATACTTTCACGTTATAACGTGAAAACTTCATATTATGAAATAACGTGATATTTTCACGTTATAACGATATTTTCACGTATATCATGAAATAACGTGATATTTTTATGTTATAACGTGAAACGATATTGTTCTAACAATAAACTTTTCACGTAATTACGTGATAATGAGCCCCCATTTTTTTTCTCTCGATGTGGCAGCACCACGCTTCCGTACAGATATTTCCCTCATCTCCAAACATTTAAATTTGTTCTACAGGAACAGACCTGGGCATTTTACGGCCCGACTCTGACTGGCCCGCGAAAGGTTGCTTGGAATTTAGAAAATAAAACCTACTTTTGAATTTTAATGCGTGGACTGAACCAATTGGATGTAAAAACTGATGCTTTCACTTTGAAGCCTGTTTATTTATGTACAGTGAGCGTAGCCTACGACGTCGTATACGTAATCCATAAAACAAGTCAATCAGTGCACATTATTAGCGGCCATTTTCACCCCTCAACGATGTACGGGCATGTTAAAAAAAAGAAAGGAGGACGCTGAAGGCCGAAAGATTTGGAGCACTAAATATTTGTCTACTGAAGTCGGCGGTAAACCCGTCTGTTTAGTTTGTGGTGAGCAGGTCGCTGTGTTCAAGGAGTACAATTTGAGTCTGCATTATGAGACAAAACATGCAGAGAAATACAGACACTTGGCAGAGGCTGAGAGAGCGCAAATTTTGGAAGACTTGCTAGCAAAGCTAGCAAAACAACAAGGCTATTTTACCAAGCTACACACAGCCCGGGATGTAGCGACCAAGACCAGCTTTGTAATATCCCACAAAATCGCTAAAAACTGTAAGCCATTCTTGGATGGTGAGTTTGTGAAGGAGTGCTTAGTGGACTCTGCCACGCTAATATGCCCTGAGAATAAAGACGCATTTGAAAAAGTCCCGCTGTCCAGGCGAACCGTCACCAGAAGTGTCGAAGGCATCGCGGAGGATCTCAAACTTCAGCTAAAAAGTGGAGTTGAATGTTTTGAGTTTTTCTCTTTGGCTTTGGATGAGAGCTGTGATGTCCGTGACACTGCCCAGTTACTGGTATTTCTCTGAGGAATAAGGCAGGACTTCAAGATTACGGAGGAGCTGGCAGAATTGAGGTCAATAAAAGGAACAACAACAGGGAGCGATCTGTTCAAGGAGGTAGATGGTCAAGCTTGGACTAAAATCGGACAAACTGGTAGGTGTCACTACTGATGGTTGTCCGAATTTGACGGGGAAAAATGTCGGACTTTTGAAACAGATCGTAGATAAAGTGACTGAACTCGGCTCAGAGCATAAGTTGGTGTTGATACATTGTATTATACATCAGCATGCGTTGTGCAGGTCTGTGCTAAAACTTAACCATGTTATTAATGTTGTAACCAAAACGGTTAACTTTATCAGGGCACGAGCATTAAATCACAGGCAGTTTGTTGCACTTTTAGAGGAGCATGAGAATGAACATGGTGACATCAGGTAGCACACAGCTGTCAGATGGCTCAGTCTGGGCAAAGTGCTAAAAAGATTTTGGGACCTGAAAACAGAGATTCAAGAGTTTTGTAAAAACATTGAGGATGAAATGCACCTGGTTTCCTCTCCCTTTACCTGCAGAGTAGATAATGCACCCAGTCACGTTCAGCTAGAGCTCATTGACCTGCAGTCTGACACAGCACTGGCAGAGCACTTTAAGTCAGCATCACTGCTGGAGTTCTACTCATCTCTCAAGGAGGAGAACTTTCCAAACATGAGGAGACATGCTCAGAAGATGTTGGTTCTGTTTGGATCTACCTACATATGTGAACAAACATTCTCAGTAATTAAGTTTACCAAATCCAGGTTTAGATCCTCTCTTACTGATGATCATCTGTCAGCTGTTCTTCGCATCTCCACCTCAGACATTCAGCCTGACTTTGATGCACTTGTTAAAGCCCAGCAAAGGCTAGATTTCTCTCACTGAACAAGAAAAGAATACTAAAATGTGTTCATTTTTACTTTTTGCCTGCACAGTTTTACAATCTGTGAAAAGAAAAAATGTGACATATCTTGTTAATGATATTTGGCATTGTGCTGTTTTAATAGTGTAGGGGAATGTCTTCATACATTTAGGTTAAGAAATGTAGAGTAATTATCTTTTAGTAAGAAGCTACAAATAATCTGGGTTGGCCTGCTCCTGCTGCCCCACGACCATGAGATTGTAAGCAAGGCTGTCTTGCAGGAGCCCAAACTATCTGTCTGTTGGAACATGTAATCTCTGCTAGGGTCAAGACGAACCTAAACAAAGTGTCGTGGGGCAGACATGTCATCATGAGGGGCCTTCTGGAGAACACACACACACACACACACACACACACACACACACACACACACACACACACACACACACACACACACCTAACAGCATAAAAGAGAGAAGAAGAGAAGCTAGAGGAGGCTTCCTTGGGTCTTGGTTGAGACTCTGTTTGTCATCTGTACTGATTTCTACATCTGTACTATTAAAGTGCCCAGGCTGTTCTTCAGATCTCATCATGTCTCCTGTGCATTGTTTATGCTGGACTTTCCACAACATAATTGGCGAGCTTTAGCCAGAATTCCTTTCGGGGGACAAGGGACCATGGTTCTGCGAACTTCACATGGGATAAGGACACTCTGTGCGCACAAAAAGAAAAAGGTAGGAGATTTCCTAAAATTTGGTTGAGAGTTCTTCTCCCTGTGAGGTGGTGCGGACTACTGCTCTCTGTCCTCTTCAGACAGTCTGACAGTCTGAGAAAACTGCATGCATGCAGTCAGCTGATCAAAGTGTTTGGGAAAATTCGGGAAAGGAAGCCAATTTAAATTGGATATATATCAGCTGAATATAAGAGAAACTGCAGTTGACTGTGTGAAATTGCCTCACGCTGTTGCATATGTGAGGAATGCCATATGTAGAGCTATAGGCTGCTGCATATGAGGGATGCCATATGTAGAGCTATAGGCTGCTGCATGTGATGAATGCCATATGAGGAGCTATAGGCTGCTGCATGTGATGAATGCCATATGTAGAGCTATAGGCTGCTGCATGTGAGGAATGCCATATGTAGAGCTATAGGCTGCTGCATATGAGGAATGCCACATGTAGAGCTATAGGCTGCTGCATATGAGGGATGCCACATGTAGAGCTATAGGCTGCTGCATATGAGGAATGCCACATGTAGAGCTATAGGCTGCTGCATATGATGAATGCCACATGTAGAGCTATAGGCTGCTGCATATGAGGAATGCCACATGTAGAGCTATAGGCTGCTGCATATGAGGAATGCCACATGTAGAGCTATAGGCTGCTGCATATGAGGGATGCCACATGTAGAGCTATAGGCTGCTGCATATGAGGAATGCCACATGTAGAGCTATAGGCTGCTGCATATGATGAATGCCATATCTAGAGCTATAGGCTGCTGCATATGAGGAATGCCACATGTAGAGCTATAGGCTGCTGCATGTGAGGAATGCCATATGTAGAGCTATAAGCTGCTGCATATGAGGAATGCCATATGTGAAGCTATAGACTGGGTGCAGAAGCACTTGTCTCCTTCAGAGTGTGAGATTGCCTCACACTGCTATAGGTGTGAGATTGTCATATGTGAAGCTATAGGCTGGGTGCAGAAAAGCACTGGCCAGTAGCTTGGGGAGACAGCCGGGCCCGGGTTGTGATGTGATTTTTTTTAGGCTGAATGCCTGGAGATAAAAAGGTTCTGGGTAATTTTTGGGATAACAAGGGGAGCGGCAGAAACGAGTGTGTCTGTCCATTGTTGAACTGTGAGTTTTAGACCATCTTTCATGAGCTCTGAAAGGTGGCTGCCGATGGACGAGCAGATTCATCTCGTAATACATACGTGGATTTTCTTTCTGGAAAACTCCACTAGAAAGTGGACTTGTCATGCGAAGTTCCGCTGAGGCTTAAGAAAAAGCCAAAAGGAGAACGAAAGTGGCATATTTCCTCATAAATTCTGATCCAGAACTCTAGAGGGCTGAATAAGTATAATGACGGAATAGTAGAAATTTAAAATGAACATATATATATATCTCTTTTATATGTCAAAGACCTCACAAAATCAGTGTTATAATTGGACTTAAATTACAGATACAGATTGGCTTGATGAGCAGGAGATAGAAAAAGAGGTCAATAAGGATAGGCTGAAAAGCCTATTCAGGGATCCCAATTGAACAAGCACGTCCCATATCTCCTGACCAATTGTAGAAGAATCACACAAATTGAAAAAATCACACAAATTGGGAAAATTGAAGAAATCAAAACAAGAATTAAAATAGAAGACTGCTGACTGACTCCAGTGACTGACTTTGACTTCAAACACGTGTGAAAGGGTATACCATTGTGTGATGAAAAAGTGAAGTGTGTGGGTTGGTTGGATGTTTGTGTGTGTCTGTTTTGTTCTGTGTCAACTAAGTTCTCTGGCAGTGTTCACAGCCAGACTCTGCATCTGTGTGTGTGTTATGTTAGTCAAAGATTGCTGTGTTTTCCTCACTTGTGTTTATTTCATAGTTGTTTATGTGAATACTGTGCTCATTGCGGTCATGTTATCAGTTGAGACATAGAAGGTTAAATACTCCTGGGAAAGAGGTTCTGTTCCTAGTACCATGATGAACACTCCTGATATGAAGGTTTTAGCTTATGCTTCAATATTATGATGATTTTTTGTTGTGAACACATGTCTTATGCTCCTTAACAAATGTTCTGTGTTAAAGCTGCTGAAATAATGTTTGTAAAAGTATAGAAGATACAAAAAGGGGAAAAAGAAATGAGGTACCACAAGTGCAAAACTTCTAAAACTTCAAATCTAAGAGTTGCTTCTATACATCTGCTGTTTTTGCCAAAATACTGTGTTTTTTAAATATTATTGAAGCTGTTAATATCAATACTGACTATTGCTATAGAACTTCAGTTAAGGCAAAAGCTTTATACTGTGTATTTTTTGGGGGAATTTTACAAAACTTCTGGGGATCAAGTTTTAATGTGTGTGCTCATTTGAATAATAAATTTTACAAAAACCATGACCAGAAAGGGAAGATTAGTTTAACTCCAATTGCATTGGTAGGGTGTAAATATACTGAACACTTAAATGATATCCAAAAACTTACACAGAAATGGGAACATTGAGTCAAGGGGTTTGAATTTTTATGATCTAGGGGAGGCACATCTGATGTGGCTGTGTGTGAGGATTTGGAGCAGCGAATCTAAGGCCATAAAACACAAAGATAAAAGTAAAACAAGCAAAAACAAGAGATATGGAACTAGAAGTACTGGACATGTTCAAAGATTTGTGTCATTTTCATACTTTAGATTATTTGTTTTTTCTTAATCATGCTCTGATCTTTTGAACTAATAAATAAGAATAGAATAAAAAAAAAACTAATTTTTTTTCTATCTTAGGTTGCCTTAAAAAAATTTTTTATTTTTATTTACTCATGTCATTTGAATTTCCAAATGATTCATAATCACTGCTATTTTTGTCCCATATGTTTTGAATAGGTAATTGACAGTTTTCGTGAAATTGTGGCCGTGGAAAACCACACACCTTGTTGGGCTGATTGCCAGACTACCACAAACTGAACAGGGGGCAGGGAGATGGATACGAGTTTTTGAGGATGAACTGTAGGAAATTGTTGACTACACCAGACATGAAAGCACTCTTGGCTAAACTGCTGGGAACTAAGACGATGGAGGAGTTTCTGCACAAAGCAAAAAAAAAAAAAAAAAAAAGGGGTTGGATGACGAATCCCATGACTGATGGGACTGAGTTCAATGCATATTGTGATGTGATGTGGTGTGGAGGATGCTGCCAGATGAAGAGCGGAGACCGAAAGAACAGGAAAAGAACATTCAGCGGAAGTTAAAACAGCCACCTCTAAGGGGGACACTGCAAAAGAGACCCAGCGATGCAGACCGTGCAGACGCTAACTGCGGTAAAGCCTGTGACAGTAACCTGTTTAATCACCTGTTGTGAATGTTTATCCTCAGACAGAACCCTGCTCCATAGAGATGATATATCCCGGCAGGGAGAGAGAGTGGAATTCTGACGGACGTGTGACGTCTAAAGACCTGCTGGGGATGTGATCATACCAGACATTTTTGACAACTGCCCAGACCAGGGACGCCTCTGGCTGGAGCTGTGGTGGGGGGCCCCAGCCCAGACAATGTGAAAGTGGTGGCTTACTACAGTGTGATTTTTGTGGATGATGGAAAAAGTTAATTGTTAGTTTTAATTTTAACCCTGTTGACCTTATAGACCAAAGAGCCCTATGTAGAAGTAACATTCAAATGTGGTGCTCACCGCAAGGTGTGTAAGTAGACAGTTATGGTTTATAGTTTTAAGTAAATATCGTGACATTAGCATTGTAACATTCCTGTTCTGTTATTTTAATACTGATAAATCTAAATGCAGCTGTGCTGAATCCACATACACTCCTCACAGATGTGCCACCTAATGTAAAAGTAATAGGAAGCTATCAAAGGTCAATAAGGCCACAGAAAATGGTTTAGAGTCAAATAACTAGTTTTTGTACCAGTAGTATTAACAAACAAACTTAGGATCTGACTTTCACAGTGATTCACACTGTGAAAGGGGGGAGATAATGAGACAATTAAAACAACATTTTTAGAATATGCTGACAATAGTTGATAAACTTTTGGGTCATTGTGATATGTGTTTTGTTAGATAAATTGAAGAGAACAATAAAACAGTAGCGGGACTCTGTTCCAGTTCCAGAGAGACGCTTTTAGAAATCTATTCATAGGCAATGTGGACATGATTAAAACTGCCAAGGGATATGTTACATGTTTGTAATGATGACAGGTTCAGTCGATGGATAGAAGCAACACCATCAAAAGATCTTGGAGTCAAAATAAATCTGTCATTGCATGATTTGGTACATCATTTTGGGGAAGAAAGTTAATCTCTCAAGTAAATATCAGATCAGAGAATTTGCACTAACACTAACGTATAGGAAGATGCTTTTGCTACTTGCGCTTATGAGCTTTCACAATCAAAAGCACTGAGATAAATCTTTCACTGCATGATTGACTAACTTACAAAGCTATGCTTTACTGCGGCTAAATAATTAAGTTTTTCGCTTGAGAGCTGAAAATTAGTGAATTAAATATATGAGGCAGCTAACTATGATGCAAAGATCTATCAATTAGTAGGAGGAGTGCCAAAATCTGATCCCAGTCAAGAGGTGGAGGCCAGTCGAGCCAGATCACCAGGTGTACATCACCGTCCTTTGAGGAGGGTGGCACAAAGAATGAGGAGAAGACCTGAACACTGTGGTCCTGGTGAATCTACTTCAGTGCAAGAAGAGGGCAATATGATGTGGCGTCATCTACCGCTGACTGCCCAGAAAAAACAAGGGAAGTATGACTTGATAAGAGACACTCCCAGAATGACTGTAGCACTCGTCCTGAAAGTAACTGTTTTCCTGGTGTTGCTGCTGAGGGCCAATGTGTGGAGAGAGACCGAGAGAGAGACTGATGGCAACAATGAGGGTGAAGGTCAAACTGGTGCCAGTACAGCTGTGAGAAGAAGAAGTGGGAGACATTGTTATCGCGGGTGAGTACGATGCAACCCAAAACACAATCCACACCACTCCAGACAGAGCTAGAACCCATGCCAACATTCACAGATTATTACAGATTTACAATGAGGTTAAATAGATAATAAAATTAAAAAGATTTTTTTTTTATATATAGATAATCAGAAACAAGAGAGCCCTACACACTAAGTAGATCTCAGATATTGGAGGAAAGGTTCCAGATGAATTTATCACATAGGGAGTAAAATGAATGCTGAAAAGTCGTGTGTGGCAATAAAATAACAGCTGTTTTTTAAAAGTAAAATTAAGTAATTATGTGAAAGAAAGATGTGTTTGATTTGATTTTGTTTGATTTCATTTGTTGATTATTCAGCGAAGATGTTTAGATTAAAGGATATTTACATGTAACAAGTCCAGTAACATGTCAATACAGACAAGCATTAAATTGGGTGTTTGAAGAGAAAAGATGTGTCTTAAAAGTTTATAAAGTACTGTTGCAGATACATTTCTAACAGAACAAGCCCCTGGGAGAGGTTTTTCTAAAGCTATGAAGGGTAAAGGAAAGTTTAAAGTGGAAATGTGGGAGAATGCTGGTAAGGGGGGCCTGTTAATGGACTGGGTGGTCCAAATTTTAGATGAATGAGAGCCGTTTTGGCCCAGCCATGAGTGCTGCGATAGCCCTAATTCTGATTTCCTTTCTCACATGTCGCATCGTACACATCCTTTGGAGACATTGTTGGAAGCTGACGGAGGAGATGGGACTTATGGTGGACCTAACACTGGCCCATGAACTACAGGAAATGCCACCAAAACAGCTGGTACAGTGTGTGACTAATCAAGGAGGGACTGAGGGACCGGAACGGTTCCTGGACTTTGAAGGAGAAGAAGATGAGCAATGGACTTTGAGCAACACAAACAACATGTTTGTGTAATGTAATGTAATGATATTATCAAATGTGGACACTTTCTTCTATGCAAATGAAATTATGTCAGCGCATCCAGGAAATGGATGGTCGCCAGGGCGCGGGGCCGTAAGATTCTTTCCCTGCTGAAACAGCCGAGCAGGGTTTTCAGTCTTACGCGTTGATATAATTTGAAATGATCCTAGCTATGGTATGGTATGGTACTGATTTTTGTTTCTTTAATCACATAAGGATGTTTAGTGTTTGATATGATGATTAGGTTTTTATGAAAGTAAGAACTTTCAAAGGGGGGATGTGTAGGGGAATGTCTTCATACATTTAGGTTAAGAAATGTAGAGTAATTATCTTTTAGTAAGAAGCTACAAATAATCTGGGTTGGCCTGCTCCTGCTGCCCCACGACCATGAGATTGTAAGCAAGGCTGTCTTGCAGGAGCCCAAACTATCTGTCTGTTGGAACATGTAATCTCTGCTAGGGTCAAGACGAACCTAAACAAAGTGTCGTGGGGCAGACATGTCATCATGAGGGGCCTTCTGGAGAACACACACACACACACACACACACACACACACACACACACACACACACACACACACACACACACACACACACACACACACCTAACAGCATAAAAGAGAGAAGAAGAGAAGCTAGAGGAGGCTTCCTTGGGTCTTGGTTGAGACTCTGTTTGTCATCTGTACTGATTTCTACATCTGTACTATTAAAGTGCCCAGGCTGTTCTTCAGATCTCATCATGTCTCCTGTGCATTGTTTATGCTGGACTTTCCACAACAATAGAAAGAAGTGTTTTAAGGTTAATGTAATTTAAAAAAAACAGTTACAGATGTTTCATGTTTACCATTGTTTTGAAAACTGCACTGAAGAAAATACATTTTTTTGTGAAAAAAAAAACCCTCACTTTCTCATTAGCTAATAATAATACAGACACTTACCAGCTAGTGTAAACAATGCCATTTACTGCTTTCAATTTATAATTAAAATTTATACGTAGAATAGAGTTTAAACTTTTGGCCCGGCCCTCTACAATATTTTCTGCTTCTCATTTGGCCCCTTGGGAAAAATAATTGCCCACCCCTGTCCAGGAACGACAGAAGGCGAGGACGCATTTGCTGCTTTCTACTTAAACACATCTGCTTCACAGAGGTTTTTTCATTTGTCCTTACATGACTTAATTTTACACAGGTTTACTTACTTTACCTGGTTTACAAACGCAAGCTTTTTGTATCAGTCAATACCTAATAGTTATTGATGACATTTGGAAATGTAACGATATTGCTGTGTTTTGTTATGTCTGTGTAGTCAACATTTAAAATTTTTTGAGGGGCCTGCTCTTTCTGACTGTATACACAGCCATTCCCCGCCTCCCCCAACCTGATTGGTTGTGAGGCCGATGCTGCTCCTTAGTGCTGATTGGCTGTAAGTCAGATGCAGCTCCTCTGTGTCGTTCATGAGCCCAAACAAAGTTAGTGTGCTACAGTATTAGACAGTAGAAAGTAAGGTAAATTGTTTGAATCCTCCTTTGGCCTCGACTGCCAACACAAGCAAGAAAACCAAGTAAATACCAGAGACTCTGGTGGAATAACGGTTGCTTAAAACGGAGGTAGACCACCTGGACAAATGCTAAAAAGACAGGTCAACATCAATGATTAACTATGGGGGAGGCTTCGGGATCTCTCAGACCCTGTAACCTTTCTGCTGGATGGAGGAGATACTTTATTGTCATTGCACTTGTGCACAACGAAATTGCATTTACAGATGGGGAAAGAACACATAAGAGGGAGGGAGAGGAGGAGGTAAAAAAAGGTAAAAAGAGCTGCTTTCATTAATATGAGTGTAGTGACAAATAAACCCTCAGCAACATGAGCACATTACTAACACCACATACACAGAGATTCGGAGACATGCTATGGTTGTTGGGGGGGGGGGGGGGGGGGCGCAGCCGCTGCCCATGGTGAGCGCCGCCAGTCAGGGTACCACCCACTGCACTGAGGGGTGGAGCGTCGAAGGCGTTGGGTGGGGGAGAGGTGAGTGTGTGTGTATGTGCATGTGTGTGAAGGTTCATGGATGCGTGTGTGCGTAGGCCCAGGAGGTCACTCCGTCCATCGCCACAATCTTGGTGACCTTGATTGAGTTCCAGACAAAGTCAACAATCTGCAGGTGTCCATGAAGGAGGAGGTTAGGGAGTAAATTTCAGAGCGTTGAATTGCTGAGATCTCCTGGAGGAGTTGTGCCAGCGTCGACCTTGGCCAAGGCCGATACCGAGGGAGCTGAATAGTAGATTAGAATGTTTGGGTTAGGGCGAGTAGCTGCATTCCAATAGACTTCAGCTACTCTGATTGTCCATCCTGTTCTCTGTATCGATCCATTTTCTTTAGCAAAGTTAAAAGCCTCTCCAAGATGACATCTCCCTTGCGATCCCCAATCATAACTTGATGTTCAAGATTGGAGACCGCCCCAGAAAGAGTTCCCACGGCTTTGCCCACCTCAAAAATCATGACAGCAGCCTCTGGGGGCTCTTGACCGCTGCCAGCATCTCCTTGTTTTGTAGATAAATCAGGGCGAAGCAAAAGCCAAACAGCAACAGACCTGTTATCATGGTTCCGAAAAGGTAGACATCTTCCACATCTTCCACGGAAAGGACCGAGAGGCACGCGACACGCCACTTCCCCCAGCAGTCCATCATGTTGCTCATGGCGAACGTTCGTCGGGGCAGGCAGGTTCCCCCGAACCTCCATGTCTCATAAAGACAATCTTGTCAATTGCGTTGAGGGACCAGTTTATCAATTCCATGGTTGGTTTCGGAGATCAGGCAGTGAGAAGCTCTGAGAGTTTCAGACAAGACGGGATGAGACAAGAGGCAAAGCAGGGGGCAGGGAGATGGGAGAGGAGAGAAATGTGACCGCCTTTGTTGAGAGCCGGAAGAAGGAGATGACAGGTAAACCGCTTTAACAAAGTAAGCCAAGTGTCTGTAACAGAAGTGTTTCTTGTCAAACGGGACCTGCTGCGTGTTGTAGCGCCGCTGAACTTTTTACCTCGGGTCCTGGAGTACGTCACTTTATCCTAGTTGTGGAGGTCCTGCAAACATTGTGTTTGCTGGTAGTCTGTTGGCATCTACACTAGCGCCAATTCTTTTTACTTTCATGTTGACTGGGCCCCATTTGTAATTATCTGAAGTACTTATCTGCATTATATCTGAATTTAATTGAAGTGGTATGAGCAAGAAGGAGCGTCTGTTTGTGGGCGGGGCTTGCTGGAGCAGAGAGGGAGGGGAGAGGAGGGGCTGAGGGGAAAACTGGTTAGGAGGGGTAGTGTTTACATTCAAGATTTCTCTCAAAAACTAGCACTTACTCATATCCTGCCTGCCCCACCTTTAAGTGTGATGTACTTCATTTTACTTTCGTACTTTAATTACCTACTTTATACTTCTCTTGCTTTATTTGATATAAGATGATTTACTAATTCAGTTTACTCATCTGTTACTGACTTTTCTTTTTTTAACTTGACTTAACTTTTCAGATGACTGAAGTTACTAATTTAATTACTTGCTTATTTAATCAATTTTATGACTTATTTACTCTCTTACTTTACTGTACTAACATAATGTTGCTTTACTACAAGTACTTAATTTACCTAATTTTACTAAGTTTACTTTATTCCACTTAGTTTACTCTACTTAACTTTCATGTTTTTTTTTTACTTTAGTTTTTGTACTTTGCTTATTGCACTCTTACTGCTTTGTTTTTCTTTACTCACCTTTCTCCACTTTAGTTAATTTATTTAATTAGACTTAGGTTTACTTAACATTTCTCAGCATACGTTACTTGCCCAATTTATTTATTGAATGATTGGTTTTTACTTTGAACATGGGAATTAAAAAAAATAAATGTTCATGCAAAAGAAAAAGAAGTAACAAAACACAAAATTGTCAACACCTTTTTATTTGAAACATGTCTGAAAGAAGTACAAACTTATTTAATCTCACCCTCCCATCACCCTTCACTCATTATCCAGCGCCCCTTTCCCTCAGAGCAGTTTATAGTTTCAGTTCTCGTCACTCTCTGAACTCTGAAGGATACCAAGCTCTTCATCTCACACACGCCCACCAATAACAACAGAGACCCCCCCCTCCCCCACACACACACACATGTTAAATAATAATAATAATAATAATACACTTTATTTGTATAGCACCTTTCATGACATGAGATGCAGCTCAAAGTGCTTTACAGGTTAAAAACAAAGCACGAGTGCTTTACAGACAGGGTAGATGATTGGCAATAAAACAATAAAATTAACAATAAAAACAATAAAATTAGCAATTAAAAAATAAAAATAAATAAAAATAAGCAGACAATAAATACATAAGCAAAAAACAACATCATACTAATAGCAAATAGTGCGGATATGATCAAGTAAAAGCAAGGGTGAAGAAATAGGTCTTAAGGTGTGTTTTAAAGTTATCAACAGAGGTTGCCTGCCTTATGTAGACTGGGAGTTTGTTCCATGCTGTTGGCCCATAGAAGCAGAATGCTGCTTCTCCATGTTTTTTGTATGCCATTTTGGGTACTTCAAGCAGGTCAGCACTGGATGACCTGCTTGAAGCTCTAATGCGCACAACATTTCTAAGATGAAAAAAGGCAGTTTTGGTAACATGACTAATGTGTGTATTGAAGTTTAGTTCTGAATCAATAATAACCCCCAAGTTCTTTACTGTATTGTTACCTTTATCAGTCAGGTCACCTAGTCTACTCCTTATTGATTCCCTCTGCTCATTAGTACCACCAATTGTGAGGACTTCAGTTTTACTCTCATTTAGTTAAAAAAAATTCTCAGTCATCCAACATTTGATACTAGCTAGACAGGACAGCAGGCAGTCTAAAGCACTTGGATCGTCTGGTGCTACAGAGAGGTACAGCTGGGTATCATCAGCGTAAAAGTGGAAGTTCACACCATGATTGCCGATAAGTTCTCCCAATGGCAATATATACAGAGAAAACAATAGTGGACCAAGGATGGAGCCCTGAGGCACACCAGAACAAATGTCATATTTGTCTGAGTAAAAGTCAGCTAGACTGACAGAAAAGCTTCTGCCTTTTAAATAAGAGCGGAACCAGGACAGGGTCACACCTGATACCCCAACCCAGTACTCCAGACGATGTAATAAAATATCATGGTCAATTGTGTCAAATGCAGCTGTTAAGTCGAGTAGTACGAGAACAGATACATTTTTCTTGTCAGATGCCACCCTAAGGTCATTGACCACCTTTAACAGAGCTGTTTCCGTGCTGTGACCTTTTCTGAAACCAGACTGGAATTTGTTATGTCTATTATTATTCTGTAAAAACATTTCCAATTGTTTGAAAACAACTTTTTCTAAGATTTTTCCCACAAAGGAAAGATTAGAAACGGGTCTATAGTTGCATAGTACAGAAGGATCAAGGTCGTGTTTCTTGAGTAAGGGCCTAACTACCGCCCTTTTAAGGGAGTCGGGAAAGACACCAGAATGTAGGGAGCAGTTTACAATCTTTACAATATCACTGATCACACTGTCCAAGACTTCTTTGAGAAAGAGTGTAGGGATTACATCCAGTGAGCAGGATGATGAGGTCATCTGAGATATGATTTTGCAGAGTTCTACTTCATTTACTGCACAGAATGACTTAAGGCTACCCCTAGAGGGGTCTACACTTCTACACCTGGTGCTCACTGAAAGGGTGTTCAAGCCAGCAGCGGCACTCATAATATCGGCTTGAATATTTGAGATTTTGTTATCAAAAAAGGATGCAAACTCGTTACATTTAACTTTAGAAGCAGGGAGTGACTGTTTGTATAATTGCGGGGGGTTTAAAACGTGTTCAATGGTGGAAAAGAGAACTCTCGAATTACCCTTGTTCTCGTTTATAATCTTAAAAATATTCCCGCCTTGCCAGACGCCGGGCTCTCGCATAGGCAACCGTTGATTTCTTAAGAATCTCTTCATGAACAGTTAGTTTGCTTTTCCTCCAAGCTCTCTCTGCTCTGCGACATTCTCGTTTGAGTGAGCGGGTGTGTTCGTTGAGCCATGGTGTTGCTGCAGAGTTATTTTTCTTTTTGACTTTGTAGGGAGCCACTATGTCTAGGGCCAACTCTAATTTGACATAAAAAATAATGAACCAGATCATTTACCGGGGAAGCATCGGGCGGGGGATTTGCACTTGCTAGATGAAGGGGAAAGTCATTGGCTGCCGATTGGGTGAAACAATGATTTTTCATAGTGTGTTCTGAATTGTCTTTATCCAAGTCTGAGACAGTCATCATGTTAAAACACAACACAAAGTGATCTGATAGTTTGGGTCTCTCAATAATCTTGTCAACAGTGATAGTCAGACCTCTGGATATCACTAAGTCCAGATTGTGGCCAAGCTTGTGTGTTGGCCCAACAATGTGTTGAATAAAATCAAGAGAATGCAACAAGTCAATAAAACCCCTAGCCACGATGCATGAGGCATTGGCGATGTGCAGATTGACGTCACCAGTTATCAGAGTTTTGTTATGGTTAGTAGCGCAGATTGATAACAGTTCAGATATTTCTGTTAAAAACAAGGATTTGCTGCACTTAGGGGGACGATAAACACTAATCATTAGCACCGGAGATTTATTATCCAGTATGGAGGCCTGGTATTCGAAGGATGAAAAGCTACCAAGAGACAGAGATTTAAACTTTAAAATGTTTGAGAAAATATTTGCCAGTCCACCCCCTCTTTTACCCTCGCGTACTGAATAGATAAAGCTGTAATTTGGAGGGCAAGCTGGAGCAAGAATGACATTTCCATCGGATTTAAGCCATGTTTCAGTTAGAAAAAGAATTTCTAGATTCTCTGAGCAAATCAAATCATTGACAGAAGATGACTTTTCAGCAAGTGATCTGATGTTAAACAGGCCCAGGTTTAGCTTATGGCATCTTACGGGGCTGTTTTTTGTACGGGGAATGAATGTTAAATTAGCTACATTAGCAGACCTGGTGTGATTCAAACCACTCCTTGTCCAGGACACTCTATTTGAAATAATAGTAGGGATATTGCACACTACATATGATGTAGATGGCGGATTTATAGATACTCTATTTGAAATAATAGTAGGGATATTGCATACTACGTATGATGTAGATGGCGGGTTTATAGATAGTCACGGAATGAAGGCTTTGCAGGAGTGTAGTGTGAGGTCAATGTTTGTGGATAACAGACGAGATCCAGTGTAGTTGAGATGGAGGCGGTCGTGTTTAAATAGGTCTGGTCTCTTGAAAAAGGTGGTGAAATTGTCCACATATGGGATGCGTCTGTTGCAGCAGTAGTCCTTGAGCCAGATGTGAAGTTGTCTGAGACGGCTGTATTTTACATCTCCAAAAGGGGAGGATGGTATTGGGCTTGAGATGACGCATTGTTTGTTTGAATTAAGAACACTGTCAATGAGGGAGATGAAGTCCACTTTCAGTTTCTCAGACTGCTCCAGCTTTAAGTCATTTGAGCCCGCATGTATCACTACTGTGGATACAGATGGGCAGTGACGTAGGAGACGCAGGACGGAGGTGCGGACGTCGCTAACGAGTGCACCTGGGTGACATGAAGTGCGGCATTTGTCAACGCAGACATGACGGACCATAGACGACCCAATAACCAGCACTGGGTCAGCGGACTCAGTAACCTCAGCAGCTTTAGTATCCTTTGTCGCTGGATATCCTCGGATGAAAAAGTGAGGCGAAGGACCTGAGCGCTGCTCGGCCAGCTTCTCATGGCTGTGGCCGGAGGAGCGAGGCGGAGGAGCAGCGCGCTGATGAGCGGCCGCAGCAGGGGGGGAGGGGTGGCGGCTGGTGAAGGTGGCTTCACTGGAGAGGTAGGTGAGACAGAAGGGAGACGGGGCAGAGGAGGAGCAGCCGGTGGGGGTGGGCCAGGACGTGCCTGAGGGGAACTCTTCCCTCTCCTGCTGTGGGGACCAACCCACGACCATGGCTCGGATGGAGTCGAGCTGACCAGACCCTTGGGCTTAGCACCGAACCGAGCCCAGCAGTCATCAGAGATGGGGAGCGGAGGAGCAGCGGGACCGTGAGTGGTGACAGGCTCAGAAGGAGATGCTGATTCTCCGGCAGGACTGTGAGCGGTGACAGCAGGTTCTGGAGTAGAGGTGGACACAGCAGCAGCAGTAGTAGGAGCGGTGGGATCAGGCTGCAGACCACTACTTGTGTCAGATTGTGCCGGTTTGAAGACGATGGTATCAAGATGTTTCTTGGCTTCCGGGATCTTGTAGAGAGTGGAGATTCTTCCTTCCAGCTCCAGAATCTTCACAGCCAGGCTGGCACAGCTGACACAGCCAGATGGAGAGGTGAGTGGAGGCATGTTGTGGGTGAGGTGGCCACACGGGTCCAACAAGTGGACCCGCTGCGGTGATCAAGCTTTAGTGAGCAAGTGGTGGGTAGATTAGCACCGGTGTCCCGTTAGCATCCAGGGGTAAAGGCAACCGCTTATGCTAGCCATCGTGTCGAGAGCAAGCAGGGAGAGACATCCAGACGTCCGACGTCGTAACTCTGCGTCTTCACTGTTACTGTTTTTACCATTAACTGCTCAGCTGACAACGAAGAGCTCCATCGAGTACCTGATATTAATCCACACGAAACTCTTTTTGGAAGTTATTATTAGTCCTTTTTTGAGTCTCACAACGACAACACGTCGTGGACACATGTTAGGATCTTTTCCATTATTGCTGGCCATTGAGGCCCTTTATACTAATACACCAGTGATGTACACGTCTCTGCATTGGCTTCCTGTATCTTTTAGAATAGATTTTAAGGTTCTCTTATTAGTTTATTAATGTCTTAATGGTCTTGGTTCTCCTTATTTATCTGATTTTTTTTACGATATGAGCCCAGTAGAGCCATCAGAGGCCTGTTCTACGAAGCAGGATTACTGCTTAGCGAGGTAACTTAGAGGGTAAGTTTGGGGTTTCCTGTTCTACGACTTGGGTTCACTTCTTAGCGAGGCGAGTCTCCATGGCAACATACGCTGAACGGCTAACCTGCTCCAGGGCAGGTTAAGTTCTAGATTAAAGTTACCAAGTATAAAAACCCCGCCCACTGACCATTGAGCTCTCTCGAAAAATGGCTTGTCCGTTCTTGGAGGATCCTGTAGACCTCATTGCTCGCATTGTCCGAGGAGGAGCACTCCGGCGCGCAAGAGTTTTCAGGGACTGCACGGATCCACTTACTTTTCCAGATGACCACCTTTATGAAAGGCTCATATGGCCTGCAAATCACACAAAAAAAGTAAACACGATAGGAATGAACAAATGAATGAATTCATCTTGGAAATGAATGGGCATGGGCTGCATGGGCTGTGTGATCACAGACAACATCTCGGTACTATTTAGTAGCAGTGCACGTCCCTTGTAATAACCCCCATAAATACTGTTGTTCAGGACTGCTTATTTGTGCTTCCTACCCACTGTAATAACCGTTGTTCTAGCCCACATGCAACATTTTTGTTCTCATTCATGAAACGCTTAAATCTGGGACATTTTCGGGGACAGCTTTAGCCGGGGACAGATCATCCAATTCAGGGACTGTCCCCGGAAATCGGGGACGTCTGGTCACCTTAGTTGAAAGCGCATGTTGAGCAGTGCTATTTCAGGGTGATAGTGGCATCAAAGATTAATTTTCTACCAGCATTCCCTCCGTACTTTTGCAGCGGCGACGGTGTTGCTTTTGAAGTTTATGATAGATTTGAATTCTCCATACTTTCTCATGATCGTCTCCTGCTCCTCTTTGGAAAGTACGTGGTCCTTCGCTCTCCGGCCTGCTCTGATGCTCCAGACTGGTCCATGTTTGCAATTGGTCAGATGCGGCGGTCTCCGCCTTACATGCATGCACGCGCTCATAGCAAAGCTGGATCAACTTACGAGGTTGATAACCAGCGTCGTAAGACCGTTTAGCGAGACCGCTGGCTACCGCGCTAAGTTGAGCAAGGCAGCTCCAATGATACCTCGCTAGGTTGAACTTGCTTCGTAGAACAGGCCCCAGGTCTTCAGGTAGTGGTCTTTTAAGAGTCCCCAAAGTTAGAACCAAAACATACGGTGAGGCATCGTTTTATTATTATGGCTCCCGTCTACACAGTCCAGTTGCCTGATTTTGGAGTCTTCAAGAAAACCATGACCTAGATGAATGAGAATCTTCATGGACTCTCTTTTAGTCTACTCTTTTTATCTTATGTATTATACTCCACTTTAGTCCCAGAATTATTATTTTATGTTTTAACACTATTTGTTTATTTTCTTTTATTGTTTATTTAAAAACAGTTTTATTTTATAATATGTTATTATTTTATTATTACTATTTTATTTCATTTTGTTTTTTATCAGTTTCCTACATCTTATCATGGTTTTGTCAGTTTAGCTTCAGCTCCAGTGTTTCCCCATTTAAGTTTAAGAAAGCGTGTCCTTTATCTTTGGGGCTTCCTGCTGAGCCCTGACGAGGTGTCCCAGTGGTTGTGTGTGTGTGTGTGTGTGTGTGTGTGTGTGTGTGTGTGTGTGTGTGTGTGTGTGGATGGGTGGTGGGGTCTCTGTTAAACGCGGGTTTGGAGGGTGGGTGTGTGGGTGGGGTTTTGCAATTTGTATTTTATTTGGTATTTTATCTGGTGTTCCCTGATCCTCTCCTTCTTGTGTTCTTTAATGTACATCACTTTGTGATACAGTCCATGTATGAAAAGTGCTTTATAAATAAAGTAATTAATTGATTGATTGATTATCTTTGTAAACGCACTCAGAGGAGGAGGTTTGAGGCTAAGTCAATCAAACCTCATCACAGGAAGTTTGTCACATCGTTACTTCAGTGGGAGCAGTCATCTTTCTGAGCAAACATGTTCAGTATTTATGAAAAAATGAAGATATTTTAGGTAAATATAAATTAACTTTGACGTCATGCAGCAGTGACTTCAGAGTCCTGGGCCACCTGGGGCCTCATGTATCAACGCTTGCGGCGCAAGAAAACCTTGCGTACGCCAAAATCGGCGCACACGTCCAGATTTATCATCGCGAAACGAGCGTCGGTTCCAGCGCTAATCAACGCAAAGTCAGGAGGTGGTGTAGAAATTGGCGTTGAGCTGGATATTTGCGTTGACTGTGATTCGCACTTTGGCGACGCTGTGTGGCGGTGTTTGGTGACTCACTATGTGACAAGCGTGCACCACATCCCCGTGGCCGGGCAGCACGTCGCCCCACATGACGAACCAACAGCAGACGGAGGGATGCGAGCTGATCCCTGCCGGGCCGCCGTCCTCGCGCGGGAGAATCTCATCGCCACAGTGTGAATGGGTAAGAAGTGAATACACAGTTCAATGAGCCAAATTAATTTATTTTCTCCACCAGACGCTCGAGGAAATTTACGAGCCGGTCCAGCCGCTCGTTGATCCCCGCGATCCCCCTGATGATTTCTTCCTGCGATTGCAGGACCCCCTCCGCGAGGACCCTTCCACTGCGTCCGGGTGGTCCAGCGGAAGCGCCGCGGCTGGTGGACGCTCCACCGCTTGTCGGCGCGCTGGTGCTGATGCTGGTGCTGGGGCCGGGGGCCGGGGTGGCCCGAATGCCGCTGGTCCTGGCCGACGACTCCGAGCCGGCGGACGGGCTGCCGCGGGCCAGGGTTCCGCAAGCCGGCGACACGGCCGACACATTAATTTCTGTGACACAATAAAAATATTAGTTCATTTCAATTCCTGCTTCTGTGTATCTGTTGCGTTTACATCTCTCTCCACGGTATCATAGGTAATGTAATCCAGTATTTCGGGGTCAGTTATGCACATTACAGTTGTTTATTGCATAAAAAGTTATCGAAAAATGAAGTTAAGGGCGAAGTATAAATCACGTCTAAAAATAGACTGAATCCCGACGTTGAAATGAAGTATAAACTTAGACTAGACGTCTAATATACGTCTTTTGCTCAGTGGGATGACAAAGCATGTGGACATTTGTGTGACACGCCACTTACCCTATAATAATAATCGCCACCACCCGCTGCTCAAACGGTGTGAGGGTCTCCTCCCCCGGACCCCCACCTGTCTGGCCGGTACTCCTCCGGAGGGCAGCTGTACGCCGCTTGACCTCCACCTTGAGGTCCGACCACTTTTTAATCTCCGCGGGGGTGCGTGTCTCGGAACCCACCGCATTCACCCTCTCGCAATCTTTCTCCCACTCCAAGCGTTTTTGTTTTGCACTGACGCCACTGGACAGGCTGCCAAACAAAACACGCTGTCGCTCCTCCACCTCCGCCACCAGCACCTCCACCTCGCACGCCGTAAATGTAGTTTTTCTTGTCATTTTGTCTGCGTGCGAGGACAGGGAGACCCTATTTAAATAAATCTGCATATTTATAGGAGGGCGTAACGGGGACGGGCCCAGTCACTCCGACATCTGCGCTCAATTCCACGCTGATTGGGATTTATCAAGGAAACACACGTGGATTTCGGCGCCCGCACACATTGATACATACGGATTTTTTTCAGCGTGACGGACCTTGCGTGCGCTCGTTTCTGGTATGAGTTCCACGCAAGTGTTGATACATGAGGCCCCTGGTGTCCATGTAATCCCAGAGCTGGGGCCTCATGTATCAACGCTTGCGGCGCAAGAAAACCTTGCGTACGCCAAAATCGGCGCACACGTCCAGATTTATCATCGCGAAACGAGCGTCGGTTCCAGCGCTAATCAACGCAAAGTCAGGAGGTGGTGTAGAAATTGGCGTTGAGCTGGATATTTGCGTTGACTGTGATTCGCACTTTGGCGACGCTGTGTGGCGGTGTTTGGTGACTCACTATGTGACAAGCGTGCACCACATCCCCGTGGCCGGGCAGCACGTCGCCCCACATGACGAACCAGCAGCAGACGGAGGGATGCGAGCTGATCCCTGCCGGGCCGCCGTCCTCGCGCGGGAGAATCTCATCGCCACAGTGTGAATGGGTAAGAAGTGAATACAGAGTTCAATGAGCCAAATTAATTTATTTTCTCCTCCAGACGCTCGAGGAAATTTACGAGCCGGTCCAGCCGCTCGTTGATCCCCGCGATCCCCCTGATGATTTCTTCCTGCGAATGCAGGACCCCCTCCGCGAGGACCCTTCCACTGCGTCCGGGTGGTCCAGCGGAAGCGCCGCGGCTGGTGGACGCTCCACCGCTTGTCGGCGCGCTGGTGCTGATGCTGGTGCTGGGGCCGGGGGCCGGGGTGGCCCGAATGCCGCTGGTCCTGGCCGACGACTCCGAGCCGGCGGACGGGCTGCCGCGGGCCAGGGTTCCGCAAGCCGGCGACACGGCCGACACATTAATTTCTGTGACACAATAAAAATATTAGTTCATTTCAATTCCT